GTACAGGAGTTTGCAAGGCAATTTTTGGAGAGGCGATCTAAATGGCGAAGTGCACAAAGAGCTGCGCCACTGGAAGATGATATGTGTGTGCCTGCTCCAGCAGTGAATCCTCTCACCACTGACTTCCAGGAAGTCAAGGTATGAGATGTGTATAATTATTTTGTTGCATTTTTCCATCTGTGTGTTCTTTTTAATAAAAAACCATACGAAGTAAACTTATATACATTATGTTACATCTATGTTAGAAACCTTTCAACTTTGCAGGGAATGAGATAGTTCAAAATAAAGCATGTTTCTAAGAGTCATCTGTTATTTTTGCAGCTTATATGGTTTGTGTTGTTTTTCTTTTCTTTTCCTTTCACAGGGTAAAGGTAAGAAAGCCAAGAAAAGCAAGATGTTTCGTGTTGATAATCGTATACTGGGCTTCAGTGTAACGGCGGCTCAGGATCGAATCAATGTGGGCGATCGTGACTATGGAGAGGGACTGTGAGAGATGATACAGGCTTACCAACAGTAATGTAATGAAACCAGCGCCAGTCCACGCCACTGCGGTCTGCTGTTCTTTCAACTAATGTGTAGAGGGGGTGAGCTGTAATTCACACAACATTACACTCTGTATTGTGTGAATCTGTGAGTATAATTTTCGGGTCGGAAAGGGTCGAGTTGGTAACATTTGTGCATGAAACTTTTTGTCTCAGTCTTCTCCTAAACCTGTGATCTAACATTCTGATTTAAAACAAAACTTCAGGAAATCATTCTGCTTCTCTTGTATAAACTGAGGAGAGAAGTCAAAAAAGAAATTGTTCTTTTCAATCAAAATTGTTTTCATTTCAACATTTCTGTCCAATCTGTTTTGGAACTTCAGAATGGCTTAATATCACCAATGTCACTAGTTACATTCTTTCATACTTACTACAAAACTGTAGTGTTATGGAATGACTCCCGAGTAATCTCAGACTGGCCATTGCTTCAGGACACTGGATGTCCTGAGATCCATGATTGCCATTAAGGACATGAAATAATAAATGCTGTCTTAGTTCTAAATATGGCATCCATATTCATTAATTTTTTAACTTTTCACATTTTGGCCTTCAACTTTTGTCAGAAAGTCATACTGATGGACCACATTTGGGAAGATGTACTGACTGGCAATAAGAGGAATGTAGGCAAACGATTGAGTACATTTGTAGAACTATGTACAAGTTAGAGCTGAAGTGACATTTAAACTATGCAGTACTATCTTAACCTGTCCACTGCTTGTCTCATGTCTTTACTTATCACAGCTAAGCTTCCATATGATGATTCTTTGAAAATATATGCTGGCTACTATCCATTGTTTGACATATATTTATTACGCTTTTGGTAATTGGCTGTACTGTCATCTTCAAGTGATGGGTTTTTATACTGACAGATTTGTTTCATTATTTTTGGTTTTAAGACTGGTTATGTTTGGTATCAAATCAGGGAGCTTTTAAATATTAGGTTAATATGCTAACCACTGAACCTGTGGGGAAGCCTACTTAGTATACTAGCTTATTATTCCAAAGGTTTGATCCTATCTTGTGCCTCTAATTTTAAAACAAAAATTAGTTTTAAAGAACTGACAGTATAGAGACAACCAATTGTCTAAAGATGGGAATAGAGCCAACTCCCAAAACAGTGTATCAGATCCAGTGCATAAAGCTCCAATATGATTGAAGTGAATGTTTCAACCTTTCCCAATGAAAGGCAATCAGATTCATCAACATTATTATGATTCTATAAACTTAAACTGGATCAGTCCTTTTAGTAAGGCCAGTACATATTCAACCACAATTATGTTTTATGCATAGTTTTACTATCAATTCCTAACATGTGTTGACTCATTATAGATTCTGAGTCATCGGAGCTTCCGAGACAGCCGTGAAAAGGTTAACATGCTGACAGCAATGTTTTTTGTTTTTTTTGTTTTGTATAAAATGCTGTTCTAATTGTACCATAAAAACTGGTTATATTCAGAAAACAAATTATTATAAGAAACCCCATGTTTTACCATCATCCATTATATCATTCCTGAAATATTAGCAGTTTGATCCTAAATAAATTTCCTTGCTGTTAGGTTTATTCCTTTCTCACCATGTTGCGATACCAATAGGAAGAGATTATAAGACACCGCTTTAAGTACGGAAAAAAAGACGAATCCAGGGAAACAATATTATATTTTAAAGCATTTGCAAGATCTTATTTCAAATGCAAAGGTGTCGGTGCTGATGCACACGAACGTTATGAATCTTGCATTATGTTGGTGTTCCTAAATGCAGCTAAAGTCCACACTACAAGATTAATGGATAACGAGTGAAGGGAAGTTCTTTGAGGTAGCACTAGGAGATGATAGTAAGTGTGGTGCTCTTCTGTGCATTTCTGTATGGTGTATTGTGAATATGATTATTTCTTCTTCATTACCAGCTACAATCTATTTTGATGCCAATTCAATGAGGTGCTGAACAAGGTGTGTTTCATTTATTGAAATGTTATTTAACATAGGAAGCCTTAAATATAAGAGAGACTTTTATAGGTTTTAGCTGAAACAGCGGTTATACAGTACATTTGAAAATAATTTAACATAAAAACATTACTTTTGTACTATGTACATAGTTGTAAAATATTGCAGCATTGTAATAATGATGATAATTACTATATGAAACTGAGGCAGGAGTTTTGTTGTTTATTTTTTGTCATTGCCTTCTTACATATTTGTAAATATTTTCAAACCGTGCTTGGTTGTTACTGATAAGTTGGAAACTCTGATATGTCATGAATTTGAATTACTCTTCCTATCATCATCATTGCATTGAAGTTTTGACATTACCAATATGTTCCAGTTCTTAGGCTCTGAATTGTGTTTCGGTCTAGTATAAATTTCTGAAATAGGAAATAAAAGTTGTCAAAAAACATTCTTTGGCTCATTGGTTCTCTCCAGCAAAAGATCTCGCGCACTGTTTCAGTTTTCATGTGGTTTGGTCATGTTATCTTGTGAAGTTAAGGGTATGGTTCTGTTAAACTGTGTGTTTTCTTACCCTCTCTTGACAGTGAAAGCCAACTATCCACTGCTTTTCAAGAATAAAAAGTATTTTACTAACAAGAAAACTGCAGAAAGAAGTAAAAACATATTTCACGTTGCAGAATGACATTTTAATGTTATATAATTTCTAAATTCTTTCATATTTATACGTACGTATGCCTGTTTTTATATTACAGTGACTTGATTCACAAAGAAATTTTCTCAAGGCCCTCAGCTTTTGTTACCGAGATAAAAATGCTGAAGATAATTTTTTCATGCGTGAGCAATAATTTTTTATTTTTCTTGGCAGGCTGGGTTACTGTTAATACAAAAATGTATCTCTTAAATTATGAACTTTCAAATTATCAACAATGAATACTGTACATACAGGTAGGACTATCACGTGTTCTGAATAATGTAGAGTGAAAACTCTTAAACTGTTGAACTAATGTTCATTCATATGTGAAGTGAAGAGTTTTGGTGATACAAAATTTAACAAATAATAAAGACGTTGGTAAGTAAATACATTAAATGGTAGCGATGTTTCTCCCACCTCAGAAGTTAGTTTTCCTGCCATGTTTATTACAGGGGATTGAAAAAGTAGCCTGGATAAAAGTTACTTATCCTATAGGAATTGCCAGATGGGCAATAGATTAACCTTTTATCCATTTGCCATTCAGTTAATTGTGTTAGTACTCAGATTTGACTCGGCAGTTGGGAAAGTTTGAGAATTTTTATAAATTATTAACTTTACAATCTTTATTTCTTAAGTTTCTTTGTATTGTAATAAATGTGCTAGGTCATCGTATCATTGTGTGCTAACAGAGATACAGAAGCAAACTCAAATTTTCATACTTTAACTTCGATATGTGGATTTGGACTTTCCAGTAGGTCCTGGAAGAATATTTTTGCCATCATCACAGGAGGGATATTAGAGCCTTGGTGGTAAGTTCATTTCAGATTCCAGTAGCCACTTTTAAAAACAGTCAATTTCATTAATAAAACGTTTTCACATTCTACCAATTTTACGTGAACATTTTTTAATTCCAGTGAACGTTTGATTCTTTAATGTGTTTTTGCATGTATGGTCTTAAAAGTACAATTCTGGGCTTGAATTAAATTTTCCAGCTAAAACAGTGTTCCAGTATTAAATATTATTTCATGGTATGGGATCTTCATTGAGAAGGATCAAGCAATAAGCAATGTCCTGCTTGCATAGAACCATGAGGTTCATTACAACAGTCTTCATAGTTTCCCTTCATACCTTCACATTGACAAGAGCCGTGACAGCTGTCAGTATGGTGACTAGCTACAGGCTGAATGACAGGTTTGATCCCTTATGGGACCCACCCAGCCTCCTATCCTATGGGTACTGGGGTCCTTTCCCAGGGCTAAAGTACAGCTGGGGCGTGATGCTGACCACACCCCTATCTAGTGCCAAGGTCAAGAAAGAGTAGGAGCTATATCTCCACTTCCCCCCCCCAAAATGACCTACATGGCATGTAGCAGACAGCTTTACTTTACTTACCTTCACATTGATAGACATAACCTCCCAGTCAGACATGAGTCTCCAAAATTACCAATTTTGTACGAAGTTTTAAAATTAAATCTTTGGGGTCTTACTTTCTATGGGTTCAAAATTGTCTGATACATCAACCAAAACTAAATGTTCTCAGTAACTTTTAATACAAACTACTAATATTACATTTTAAAAATCTGTTGCACATAGTTACATAAACTTTTTTGTTTAAACAATATTCAGTCTTAGTTTAATTGTGAAAAACAAATCTGTTATTAAACTGTCTCACATCTTGCCTAATGTAACAACTTTCTATTACCAGTATCATTTGAGCGCAATGTGGTTCATTTCAAGGTATATCTTTTTTTATATTAAAGTTCATGTTTCACCACCACACAATGGAGATGTATGATGGAATGGAGTTAGACCTCCACAATTTCTTGACATTGGCACTAGGTGCTGGTGAGTTGTAAGCTTCATGCTCCAGCTGCTTTATCCCCAGGAGGCTGGGTGGGATCTGCAGATGGTCTGGATGTAGTGAACAGAAAAATTCCTAGCCTGCCAGGAACTGAATCCCATTTTTCCAGCATATAGCCTGTCATTAACAGAGCTACACTATTTCTCCTAATAAATAGTTCATATTCATGACGGTGACAAATGAATAATCACAAAATATTTAAACAATCCAAGAAAAGATACAAAGTTAAGCTGCATTATAGCTAGTGCCTTTGTTATGTTACTAGCCTTCCTGGACTCAGCATCTCATTTGTAGATCACTATGATCTAGTATTGTTGCGTATAAATCTCCACATACTTTCCTACTCGTCCACTTGGATGAAAAGTGTGAAACAGTGACCTGTTTAATTTATAATTATATTGATTAAAAAAATTCTTTATCTTGGGATAAAGACTATCATAAATTATAATGTGTGATACAGTATCATTACTTGAATAATTCTGAAGTAACCATTTTTCAGGATTTGTGTAAAATATATCTGCCTCGTCTTGATAGTGGGGATTACCCGTAAAATCAGGCTCACACGTTAGGAACCTAACTTGTATTCTCATGTGGAGGTGACTGTACAGCGGAGTGGAATGGCAAGGCATGAGAAACAGCAGATTTGTATGCCTGTGATTTGTATCACTTAGCACCTTCATGACATCCAATGTGCCTCGTTGGTGAATCAGTCCAAAATATCCTAGTAATGCAATATTTGCAATTACCATACCTACAGTCGCAACCAAGAGCATTGATCTTTGTGCCTTACGACTCCAGTGTGAAAGGAAACTGCTTTCAATATACACAAACATTGGGAAGAGTGGTAATAAAAATCTGAATTCTTTGTGGGGAACAAAACTGAGAACAGCTACAGTCCATACGCTGACAAACAAGAGGACCATTTCTATGGAGCCTCTTTTATGTGTTAATGCTCTGAATGCACCAAGAAGGAATGGGATCAGGTGACACCCCAGAACAACTGGAATTCCAACAACTATGTACCACAATGACGGATGTGTGCCATAAAAGACATTGATACTGTCCATAATATTAGCTTGTAAGAAATGCAGGGGAGTGAAAGTTATCTTTCCATAAAAATATGTATCCAACATGGTACCAGCAGTAATGACTATTAATCCAATAAGTATATAGTCCTTTACAACTGTTGTCACCTTGTGATACGATAACAAAAAGTGGTAAATGCACAGTGGAAGCCAAATTATAACTGCTGTAGGTCTTATCATGCAAGCAGTAGCAACAAACCATAAGAATTTTGATGGACTCTTCTGTATTTTATTTTGATTCCAGGGAAATAAGTTTAGAGCAAATGTGTTAAGTGTGGCTTCAAAAGTATTGATGAGAGTTCTTGATCCACAATACATCCAAAACCAATTGGTGATCAAAGCAAATGATGCCCATAAGCCATGTCCACCATTCTGATTACGATACCATCTCAAGAAACAGTAGTCTCCAACGGCAGACAGAACAGCTTGTAATATCCGAGGTCCATGCACCACAGTATTAACAGAATCTAAGTGAAAATATTTTAGAACACTAAGGATGGTAGCCAGAAATGCAGGATAGATATAACTTCTAATGCCCAGAGTCCACTCCCATGTTTCATGTCCATAGCCAAATACAATCTTGTGTGCTACTTCTACAGTCTGCCAATACTCATCCGGCACAAACCATGTCTGAACAATATATACCATACATAAACGTATGGACATGAAGAATGATAATACCAACCAAGGGTTCATGTTGCCTTCTTTTATATAAATAGCTTTACAGAATTCTATATAGTTCACAAATCTGACCTACAAGTCACTCTGGAATACACATCAGAAATATTCTTTGAAAATGCTTCTTTTAATTTTAAAAGTTTGGAGTATTATCATACTTGGTTTGTGACGACTCAGAATTGTGCAACAATACGGAGTACTTTTTTTTCTTGAGAACAAATTGGTATTCATGATACTGTTTTCTTCCCCATCTATCTCCAGACAACCTGTTCGAATATTCTGTTATTTCAACACACCCACTCAACACTAACTTCGTCTATCGTTTGCTGATATTATCTGTGATGCTGTCTTGAAGAGCTGTAGGAGTTTCAATTGGCCAACCTATGAATGCAAAATACCCAAGTGTAAATGAAGAATATTAGAACGAATAAAATAATAGTAGAATAGAATAGAATAAGTTTTGTATTTGATTAAATAATGTTAAGTGTAGGAAAAGGTCACTTCATCCAAATGTGCTATTTATTTGTAGGTTATTTAACAAAACTGGCATTAGCTCAGACAAGAATCGTTGAAAATATATTTCACAAATGATTCGTACAAAACCTCAGTTATTTTCTCCTGCAAAGATCTTAAATATTTATTTAATGTACTACATAACACTTCTTTTCAGCAACGCAGGTGTAAAAGTTCATTGCGTTATTATGAGAGATTGTTTAAGAGTTCGTGTCACTGCTGAATTTATATCGTTCTCAATAATATCTATTTTTTCAAATGTTTATGGTAGTTTTTCTGTGATGTTTAGTCTGTGGTCTAGACTCATAGGTAACATAATGGCAGTGAGTAATTTGTGTAGTTTAATGCCTCTGTCTGAAATATTTTTGTTATGAATTAATGCAGAAATCAACATGAATCAATGGAAGCCAGTGAAAGAAAAGGATCGATATGGGATTGGTATGTCGTAATTTCAATAATTAATTGTGAAAATTTCAATGCAAACTGTGTTTCTGTTGGTCCAACCCACTTCCAGTGAACACATTCTATCAGTCATTGACTTATGTAAGGGAGTTGATGAGAATTATATTAGATTTTATTCACCTATAGTGAAGCTTAATTCCAGCTTTGTATGTTTTATAATTGGCAAAGGCTGTCGTGTAAGTTTCTGATTTTAATTCAGAGTAACTTATTTGTCATTGGCCTAACCCAGTTATTAAAGGGATTCCGTCGTTCACGGACATCAGTGAAGGAATCCATAAGATTAAATTATATTTTGTTTGCTTAAAGTTTATTTCTATTATAAGAAAATTTATAACTGCCAATTTGTGATGTTTAATATGACACAAAATTTTACACGTATGGGGAGCCTCAGATGCCCAAATGTTCACCTTTACCCATAGTTCATAATTTGTGCAAATTGTACCATTTAGCCTGTTTTTCTAAAGGTACATGTTTATTTTAATATATCTTTTACTTATTGACACAAATAATTTTTAAAGGTTTTTATGGTGGTGAGTCTGAAGAAGTATGTCTTCAGCGTTGTTGTAGTCTGGTAGAAGTTTACCGACATTTCAGAGGTCCTTGCTGCCTCCATCACCAGGGCAATGAGTGCATCATCATCCTGTGATCCATTTAACTCTAATGAGGATGTGCAGATATAAGAATTGCCATATCTGGCAGGGGGAGACTGTACTGAACTAGGGTGTGCCAAAGAAATAATACAGTTTGCAATCATTATTGAGTATAGTATGGAAACTCAAACAGAAAAATGTTCACATTGTCAATTTAATTTGCATTTTAAATAATCATTAAGATATTTTAGAATATCTCTTAATACACTTCTGTTACTTTGGGAGTTGTGTTTGGAAATATTTGTGCTGACTGTGTCCCATTTCATATAACAACATTTTTAGAAACGTTCATCCCACACAATATTTTCTGTAAATGTGTTTTCCAAAATTAGTTACTGTAGTCTTTCACCTCAAGGTTTTGAAATGTTTGTTTCATGTGTGTTGTTTGTTATTGACAGCCCACTGTAACCTTGATTTTCACTAGGCAGTAATGGTGTGAATCTTTTAGTGTGTAAGTACTTAAATCAATTACGCAACAATATGATAAGCTGAAATATTTACATATTATTTAATTGATAAGGTAGTAAACAATATAATAAATAATTTGAATAAATTAATATGTTTAAATAATAAATGATCCATTTAGTCAGTGCTTACATTTTACCTTTAATATGTAACACCTGTAAGACTGCATGGTGTCAACTCATAGGACCACAGTTGACATCCTCACCAATAAGTGATAAAGTTTGGGGGTTTTGTCTGCAGCAATCCACAACTTTCATCAGGATGCATTGTACAGGATAAAGTTAATGGTTGGAGATGCTGTTCACATTCTGGAAGAAAATGGAGACTGGTTCTTTGGATATTCCACCAAGAACCGTGCAGTCAGAGGAATCTTTCCCAAATCTTACATCCATGTCAAAGAATGCATTGTTGACAAAACTGGGTAATTATTTATAAATTACATTTACAATATATTTTAGATGTTAATTTTACTTTTGAATATACTGATGTTTTCAGTGGATTTTAAAAATGGTATTTGTTTTTACAGACCAGTGGAAGTGATAACATTGAAACAACCTCATGTTGTCCAAGAACTAACATCTGTGTTGAGAGAATGGGGCCATATATGGAAACATTTGTATATTGTAAGTGTAACAGAATTCCTTATACATTTGTGAATTTTTTATATATATCCTAGCAAAGGTTTTTAATAGTTATCAAGGATAACCAACTGAATACCTAGCTAACTAACTAACCAAGCAGTCATCCAACCTGACTGACTGATTGAGATGGAGATAGCCAGTCTTGAAACCATCATATACACTATTTTTATTCAAGGATTCTAGAATGTTAAAAGAAAGTTCTCCCTTGACTCTGTACTGTTATGTGCTATATGTAGTATCCACTTTGTTTTAAATTTTCTACTGTTTTAATTTATGAAGTTACAGTTGTGTGTGGTTTTGTGTCTTAGGTCCATAGTGAACACTTTGAGACAATAGAGCATCGGATTTGTGAGTTGATTCGGTACCGAAGTAAAATCCTATCAGGCACATTGCCTGTAGATGAACTCAAAGAAATCAAACAGCTAGTCACATCAAAAATAGATATGGGTAACAAGTAAGTTATGCATTTCCATATTTGTCAGAAGTAGACAATTGTTTCTGTTCTGCAATAAAGTCTTCTCTGGCAGTCATCTGTGTGAGAAATCATCTTACATATCTGATGAGCCAAGAAGTTGTCACGGCATCCAGTCACCATTAAAACTTTCAGTTTTATATGTTTTTGCTCTATTTAAGACTAAACTTAAGTGCTATTTGTTTCTGTAATTCTGTGTTCCACTTCTTTTTTTAATGAATTATGTTAAATATCTTTTAAATTTTCTTTACAGGTTACTAGATCTTGATATGGTAGTTAGAGATGACCAAGGAAATATTTTAAACCCAGATATTGCTTCCACCATTCAACTATATTGGCAACATGAACTAGCCACTGAAAGGATAAGAAAAGCCACTGTAAGTTTTAAAATATTCAGTGTGAAATTTTGTAAACTCATCGTAGAAGCCAGAGGTTCAACATCACACATACCAAAGCCTGTTACTAGACATGATCTTGAGCCAGTTACATCTCCGTCTGACTCAAACCTGGTGGCGAGGAAGAAACTCTTTCCTGCTGCGTATTGCACCCATGTCGTCTGCTCTGACTGAACTGTCATGGCTCCTTAAAAATAATTTCCAACCATGCAATGTGATGATTGTAGTGTGATAAGCTTCATAACAACCAGTCCATGTTTGAAAAAATGAGTATCAAGCATAATGAGGCTTGCAAATACACAATTGATGTATTTGAAATACATATGCTTTATTGGACTTCTTTACACGCTGTAGTGTTCTCTTGTTTGTTTGTTTGTTTGTTTAACAATGTTAAATCTGTCATGTTTCCAGTCTGGCCCCATGAAGAAAGTGCAGAAGACGGTGACGCAGTACTCGCATATATTTTTCGTGTCCGTTCGTAACTTTGTTTGCAAGATGAATGAGGATGCTGAACTTCTCATGACGCTGTACGACGCCAAAGAAGGCCGAGCTGTCACAGAAAATTATGTAGTCAGATGGAGTAAGGAGGGCTTGGCACGGGACATTGACCAATTGCACAACCTCAGGGTGTTGTTTACTGTAAGTTAATGCTCAAAGTACAGAATGTAGTTACTGTTTACTAACTGCATAGCCGGATTTTAAGGTGTATAAAATTTTGATATGTACTTTTTAATTTCCTGTGTTTAATATGTTGTCAGATGTTAACTCTGTTACTTAATTTTATTTAAATGAGGTTTGAATTTTGTTATGTTGCTTTGTACCAGGATTTGGGTAGTCGAGATTTACATCGTGAAAAGGTGTACCTGGTTTGCTATGTAGTGAGAGTAGGTGCTATGGAGGTCCGAGATCCCGACCATAGACGAAATTCACACGTTCCAAAGAAGGCGCATGCCGAGGGCATGAGGCGTCCCTTTGGCGTAGCAGCAATGGATGTAACTTTGTACATCAGTGGCAAGATAGAAGGCAATGAGGAGGAGCACCACTTTATTCCTTTCTTGCAGTAAGATTTCTGTATTAAATTTAATATAAATCTTTTAACTCAGACAGGAGTTTTTATGTATGCCCTTTTCTTTAGCACCTGTTTGGTCTTTTCAAAAAAATTGTAGCAATAAATTTTGGTTATAAGCTGTGGTCCTGCTTTTCTTTAAATGATTTAATCAGTATGGTGAGGCCAGAAAGAACTCTAAATTAATAACAATGCAATTTTGAAATCCATTTCTGTGCACAGTTACCAACATTACTGATATATTTTGCTGCTGGGGACTGTCAAACTTGAATGTATATTTGCATATTATTCCTCTTTTTAAATCCTAGTATGTAGCATGTTATAAATCTTTCAATAATTAATTTATAATTAGTATAATATAACCTGTCAAAGTTTACAGTAAGGATTCTTTCTTCTGTTGAACAGGAATATGGTTTATTGTCTTTGCAAATTGCATTACTAACTTTCTATGAAGTAAATTAAATGTGAAAATATCTTTATGGAGACTGAAGCAAAATTCCTCTAAAATGCTCCAAAACAAAACCACCCGTCTCACTCTCACCAAATTTAGACTCCACCACAGCCCTAGCTTGATTTCTTGCTACTAGAATTATCACTGCCAGAAATTTATTTCAATTGTTTCCACGTCACACAAATGACGCACCCATACAGTCAAGCGTAATGGACATGGCTATTATCTGAGTAGTATTGTGATAGCTTTATTATGAAGAATAAACTTTGTATATTGTAAAAATTGATTCCTGTTACAATGTGGATTTGTCTTAGAAGTGTTTGCACACAGTTGTTATTGTCTGCAATATGGACTCATATATTCGTTTCAGGTGCTGCGATAGGGATAACTTAGATGGTACGCTCAGAAGGATACTCACCGTTAAGGAACTGACACACAAGGAGCATAAAGGGCAGGGTCTCTGGACTAGCTTGAAACTGCTGCATGGTGATTTGAAACAGGTTTGTTTCAGTAAATGTGTAAAAGCTGGCTAAATCTTAATGCAATATCTTCTTCTTCCTTGGCTCTACAACCCAGTGTGGGTCTTCGCTGCCTCATTTCATAGGTTTCTTAGTCTTTGTGCATTTGTGAGTAGTGAGTCAGCAGCCCACTGCCTCTGCACAATTTAAACTCAATCCTGATTTTTGTCTGCTAGAGTCATCTAGTAGAGAATCAGGAGAGATATGGTTCAGAAATGGCCACTTAATTTTGCTTATGAAACATCTCGTCCATGCTCGTAAGGTTCTTTTACATGCTGTAAATCTATGACATGGGACCGCTGGCTTTACTTCCCCTCTGAAGGAAGTTGTGCTACAGATTTTTATCACCCTTAAAAATCCATTGACCTTGGCCGGGTTTGAACCCGCGAACCGTGGGTCCAGTTGCAAGCATGCTATGTAGTGCAAATACATTTTTAAACTACGAAGAAGTAAAAGCTGATAACATGACTTGCATTGTATTTCATTACATTCACATTATTTAAATGTGGCGTTAAAAATACACAATATTTACAATTTCATTTGAAAGGATTTTATTGAATTAAGGTAATGTTTTGTATTATGTATAGTAAATACATAAACTTACTGGTGAACGTGATTATACTTAATTATTTTATTGCAGGTTCGAGAAGAGAATCCACATTTAGTATTGGGCAATGTGACAATAGCACGAAAGATGGGTTTTCCAGAAGTGATACTACCTGGAGATGTGCGCAATGATCTATATCTTACTCTAGTGAGCGGGGAATTTTCTAAAGGAAACAAATCGACAGACAAGAACGTTGAAGTTACTGTCAGAGTCTGTAATGAGAAGGGACAGAGCATTCCAGTAAGCATGAAATGTTTCCCTTGTTATATTTACCGTTGAACCTCATATTTATATTCTCAGAATATTAAATTTATGATTTTTTCATTTTCTGTAATTTACATTCTTCCACAATTTATACCATTTGTCGTCAGTCCCCATAAAAGTGTAAATGTGAGGTTTCGCTGTATTAATTAAAGTGACTGAACGGTACAATGAAGGAAATCCTGGACTTATGCAGCTTTACTGTAATAATCATGTTTCAGGGTGTGATTACATTGGGTGGTGGAGTTGAAATGATAAATGAGTACAGATCTGTCATATATTATCATGAAGACAAGCCCCGGTGGTTTGAGATATTCAAAGTAGCTGTGCCCATTGAGGAGTTTAAAGGAAGCCATTTAAAATTTACATTTAAGCACAGATCTTCAAACGAAACCAAAGACAAGACGGAGAAACCATTTGCTATGTCGTACGTGAAGCTGATGCAGGAAAATGGGACCACGTTACGAGATGTACAGCATGAACTTCTAGTGTACAAGGTATCTGAGAGTTCGTTTTTTATATATACATAATGTTGCTCACTCATCCTTATAGGTGACTGTTTAATGTAGGGTTAACTGATCTTAAGTGGGACAAAAGTAACCAGTCTTGAATGAGTGTAATGGAATTCTGTGGTGGCGTAAATGTCTGTACCCAAGAGGTAGATAGTTAATAAAATTATTATTGTTTCAGATTGATCACAAGAAGTTTGAAGACAGTGATTTGGGCTATTTAAACCTTCCTTCAACACGAGAAGAGTTGACTGAGGGTCAAAAACCCCAACATGGGGGCATAAGTCTTAGCAGCAAGGATAGCTTCACTATTCATACCAATGTGTGTTCAACCAAGCTGACACAAAATGGTAATCTAATCTTATTCAGAATACTATACCCAAATGTACTAGTATTCATATATCACATACTGGTAATGTCATGGTTTTGTAGTGTATCTGTTTTATGTTTGTAGTTTCAGGTAATGTATAATGTTTTAAGTAGAATTTTTTATTCTTCCATTGATGAGTACAAAGATAGCTGTCTTCTGGGTTGTTGCAACATGTAGAATGGTACAAGTTTACCAACGTCATCGCCCTGATGATGGAGGCAGCAAGAACCTCTAAAATGCTGGTAAACTCGTACCAGAGTACACAGTGCTATGAGCCCAAATATGACCATCTTCATTTCTTGTTTTGGGTTTGGAATGCTTCATTTTATCCTGTCATTGGGGCAGAATAGAAGTCCCAACCTATTTGTGTAGATGTTTGGATGAAGAAAGACCATACCTGAGTTGTGATCCACGACCTGTCTTTGTTGCTCTGAAGAGAGTTTCTTCTTTATCGTTACAGTGGACTTGCTTGGGCTGTTGAACTGGGTAAGCCACCCCGAAGGCCTTAAAGACAGTCTTGCAGCGTTGATGAAGGTGGATGGTGAGGAGGTAGTGAAGTTCCTTCAGGACGTGTTGGATGCACTGTTCAACATTCTCATGCAAAACTCAGATTCTGATCTGTATGATAACATGGTCTTTGAGTGCCTTGTGAGTATATAAACAAGGATTCCATTTGATTAGTACGAGGCGCGTCCCAAAAGTAAGTTTTCCACTCGTCCCACAGCTAGAAAACCTTATATTGCGCAAAGCGACTGTGCGTACGTGATAGAGCAATGACGTAGCATGGCGCATGCACTAACGGCACTTCCCGCGTTCTCACAGTAGCATCGTTGCAGCTGTTGAAGATGGAGATTCTTATTCCAGCTCCCGCCGACTGTGAAGTGCGGTCAGTGATAACGCTAGGCCGCACCCGGCTCGACGGACAGCAAGTCTCCTGCAGGAGTTCAGCTGGGAGGTGTTTAATCATTCACCCTACAGCCCGGATCTCGCTCCCAGTGATTTCCATCTTTTCCTACCCCTCAAGAAATTCCTGTCCGGTCAGCGTTTTGAGAATGACAGAGAGGCGGAGATGGTTGTCACACAGTGGTTCCAATCCCAGGCGGCAGACTTCTACGACCCAGGTATTCAAAAGTTGGTCCCACGGTATGACCAATGTCTCAATTCTGGTGGCGAATATGTTGAAAAATAGCTGGACACTTGCTGTATCTGTTGCAATAAATATTTCCATGAAATTGTGTTTTGTTTCTGTAAACGGCCCCAGGGAAACTTACTTTGTAGACCAGCCTCGTATAATGAAGTACCTTTCCTAAAGTATATTAGTTATGTACATTCTTAATTCGTTTGTAACTCAATTGTAATGGGAAATGCAGGTGTGACTTGTTTGGTAATTTTCAGGACCCTATCCTTTCTCCCAACCCAGTCACTTTCAATTATTACATTTTGTTTGATACATTCCAAATTTATTAGAATAAGCAAATAATGGATTAATATGTCACAGTAATTTAAGTGTTTATATCTCTGTGTCCTGTTTCCCAAAAATTTTGGAATAATGCAGGAAAAAACTGCTATTTCCAAGAACAACTTTCGGTATCAAAGGGATGTTTGATGTTGAAGAAGGTAATGTTTTTGTCAGTCTCATATTTGATTCATCATCATCATCTTAGCACTTAAGTCTTGTGGTCAATTGTGTGCAGTCTTCTGAAACTTTTTACCCTAGGCTTACATGACCATCTACACACGAGGCAAGAATGCCAGCTCACGAGCAATATTGCGTTGTAGAAGGTAGGGCACAAGGGTTATGATTGCATCTGGATATAGGTGATCTTTTGAATTCACTTTTCTTCTTGCTCCATTGTTCTTGTTTTGTTAGTTTGAGCTGTTTTCTTCTGCACACTTCATAAATTGTTCCATAAAAGTGCATGCATAATGCGCAGAACCATCATTGCACATGTTTGCATGCTTTCAGCTTTGTATCATTGGACTGGTGTCCGACAGGAAGTACCAACATTTTCAGCCAGTTTTGGACCTCTACATAAAGGAGAGTTTCAGTGCCACTCTTGCCTACAAGTAAGTGTCCCTACTGAAAAACAAGTCTGAAGTCTGCAGTATAACTGCACTAGCTTAATCTAACAGCCCCACAGAGTAGGCATGTTCTTGCCAGAAGCCATTCTATGAAACTGTACATTTTTGTATTTGTAAATAACAGATTCTAAATAATCCTCTACCAAAGTACCATAATAGTTGTAGAGCACCATTGTCAGAAACCTTTAGAATAGTTTGTATTTTGAGCTGGAAACAGTAAATTATATATATGCATAGGAAAATAAGTGGTTAAGAAGTGATACCTGTCTTAAGTTTACCTTTTGTAAAGGCTGGAAGTTGTAGTGTACTTTCAGAACCCACAGTATTCTAAGTACATTAATAATTCATTGGTTTGGGTTTTAAATGTTTGTGATGTGAGATTTGAGGTTCTCACAGCGATAAAGTTGTTGATTGTGGTCTTGTAGGTCGTGCTGTTCTTTTGTCTTGTAGCGCATTACCAGCATTTTTTTAGGAATGTTTCACCACCATCTTTGGAGTTAAGGATTATATGGCATGACAACCCGCAACACCACATTTGTGGAGTTCATGTTATTTTCTCCAGTTTTGGTCTGTATGACCCTCGTAGACTGCTTGCTTCAAGAGAGGTAAAGGAGTCTGTGGTCAGGGTATCTATGAAGCAGACTCTGCATGTCATGAAAAATAATTTATATTTCTTATTTTGCTTATCATTAAAAGCTGTTGGGATTAAACCCTTATCTCTTTGAACAGGAATCTTCAGTGCTAGCACCCAAATGGCGCCATCAATATAAAATGTAACCTGGCAACCTTTCAGTTGAAGATAGGATTAGAGCCATCTTGTGTATCAAATGTGGCATAAACATTGGAGGTGTCCAACATAATTTGTGGTGTAATGATTCATGCTAGACTATATGATTAATAATTAGAAATCTGATTTTTCTTTTTCTAGCAAACTGATAGTGGTTCTCAAGTACCACATAGACAACGCCAACTCTACTGACAGTCAGGATAAGGACATGCTGTTGAAGACAATGAAATCCCTGCAGTATTGCGTGCGCTTCATAGTACGTTCAAGACAGCTGTTCTCAGAGTGAGTGGTGCACTGAGATTTGCATGTGCATATGTTGTCATGTAGCACGCATGGGGAGGGAAGAGGAGAAATGCATACAAAATTTTACTTTGAAAACCTGAGGTGAAGAGACTACACGGTAGACATAGGTGTAGATGGAATTGGTCTTAATGAAATAAGGTATGAGGATGTGGAGTGGATAGAACTAGCAGAAGTTAAAGTTTGGTGACAAGATTTTGCAAGCAATTTAATTGACATACAAACTTCATAACAAGTGTTAGTACGTTACCAAATGGATTCTTCTGGCCTTATTTTAAACTATTTGTACTATGTTGTGTCAGATAAAGAAATGGATTAATGTTGGTCATTCAACATCATGAAGTGTGTTAACCCTTTGATGCCGAAAATCGTCAAAATATCATTTAACGATTCAGTTTTTCTCAAAAAAAAACACCATACTTCTCTATTAGTAAGATCTGCTGTTTAAAGAATTAATCCCCGATTACAGTAAGACTCGATACGAATCACATAAACACAATATTGAGAGTTGTTGAAGATGCTATCTTCTGGGCTGTTGCGCCGTGTAGTCTGGTAGAAATTTACTGGCGTTTCAGAGGTCCTTGCTGCCTCCATCATCCAGGCGATGAGTTATTGATTATTGCATCAGGTGGATCATACAGTTTACGACTGGGCTTCAAAGGGTTAATGTGATTGAGTTATTTGTATGTTTTAAAATCAAATATGTACCCCTTTTCAGGTTGAACGAAGGGAAAGGTCAGCAGCAGTTTGAAATTTCATTAAAACAGCTGCTCCAGAGCATCACCGGAATGATGTGCTACAATACAGACAGCACGCTGTTGGTTCAAGGGGCATGTCTTAAGTACCTGCCATTCACCATTCCAGATATTCTGACAGTATTCAGTGCCACAGAACTGAGGTAAGAAATCGGCATTGTTATGAAACAATACGTACTGCTTTTGAGGTTCTCACAGCAGTTAAGATATCGATGGTGATATTTTGGGTCGTGGAGCTATGTGGACTTTCAGGTGGCTCTGAAAATTTGGGCTGTATGTTTCTCTGCAGTGTTGGTAACCATATAAGACCCATCATGCTATGACAACCCAGAAAACCATTATCGACATACTGTGTATTTTTTGGTTTCATTGAGTTCTTACCTCAAAGAAAACATAACACTTCTCCATTACTGAGATAACCTGATTAATGCTGTTTGCTATGAGGTTCATAAGATTTTCGTAAATACATCTTGTGCATAAATGAAGTTACTGATTGTTAAAGCAGGTGGTACTTATATTTACCACTGGTCTTCAAAGGATTAAGGATATTGGCGATTTGTTATAGTGGCTTATTAACAGAGCTTATCAACAAGGTTCCTCCAAATCGCCTCATGAAGCAGAAGATGATGACTGTGAATGACATTGTACACAGCAAGTTGTTTCTGTATTCCGACTGCCGTGCGATTCTGCTGCCAGTCATCACAGCTCATATCAAAGAGCTCCTTGAGTCCAGAGAGGAGGTAAATATGCAGTTTTATGTTTGCAAAGTGAAACTGGAAAATGTTCAACCACTTTGTATATGTTGCATCTAACATCCTGTTAACATATTGGTAGCATTGTGTCCTGATGCATATCAGGTTTTTGTAAGCAGTGGCTACCCTTTGTTGACTGATTTCTTGTAGATATCGTAGACTCTTAGTAGTGCATATATTTCCCATCTTGGTGGCATGTATGAATGGAAAAAAGTAGAGACGTGCTGAGATTGCAGACTGTGGAAGGATTGGTGGTGTCTGTGTTAAAATAAATTAGGAATTACTCGTTCCAGTGATTCAAGCGCCACTCACAGTGGCTGCTCAATCTGGGGCATGTACCTTGATCACTCGGACACCGGGATCATGGGTTTGAATCCCGCGCAAGGCATGGATGTTTGTCCACATGTTTCTGTGTCGTGCTGTCCTGTGTAGGTAGAAGCCTTGAGATGGGCTGATCACTTGTCCAAGGAGTCCTACCAAATGTCTAAATATCTTAAGAAATTTCACATATGTGAGGTTGCCAGGTCCTTCAAGGATTAGAGTTGCTGAGTAAGTGATTTTTTTTGTTTGGATGCAAATGATTGTTAGCAGTGATACTGGTATTATCTTGTGTTTTTTCATACCATGCAGCTTTTGGTAAATGAAATACGATCATTTAAATTTTTATGTTAGCTAGTCTAAGTGACATTCACCAAAAATCACAATGAAGCCGTTAACACTTCATCGTCAATTTCAAGGGACTCTGAAGGGGTTGATTTCATTTCGGTGTACCTGTAATGTTTGTACTGAGAAATGTACATTCACAGACTGTATGTATGAATGGTGGGTATAAGATTGGATTGGTTGGTCTGATGGTTAAAGATAAAAAATAAAGTTACCTCTGATCCTGGAGGTGCATAGTTCCAGTAATTTAGCTATTCAGAAGTAATTACAAGTGTTTCGTGAAATATTTTGCTTGATAATTTAATTGCTATCGACATAAAATATTGTCAGTAATATAAAATACACGCTACATTCCGCAAACCAAACATATGGTTTACACTGGTTGGTTTCTGAACCATCCATAAATTAGGGAAGCGTTCTGATGAGAATATAAGAGTTACAGTTCACATCATTTTCTCTCGTATGCTTTACTTCTGTACATTTGTAGTATATCAGTTTGATGTATGTACATTTTTATGTGTTTATTAATTTACATTGTGAATGTGTGTGCTTGTTGATTTCTCTCAAACAGCCTTGGCAATCTTGACAGCCTCTTGTGTCTGTAGACCTATTAGACTGCACATATCATGACTGCAAATGCTTTTTTATTGTAAATAAACAGTACTAGGAGCCCTGATATGTAATAAAAATTTCTGTATGCTGAAACATTAGAGAAACATCTTAACAGAAATTCACTTTGATGCAGTGTTTATAAAATACATATAAGTTTGCACATATTTCTATAGACTAGTTCTCATTAATAGCCACTTCTTATTACTTGCATGTTTTTAAAGAGTGATGATGAATGCTATTTTATTATAAATTTTGAAGATGTCTTGGTAATGATACTACTATTACTTGCATACAGGAAGCATGTTTCAAGCAATAATTTAGACAGTTTCTGATACATCTTCCCTTGGATTTGATTATATGTTTTTAATATAACAACAGCTTAATCTAGGACTTATATTTTTATGAAAATTTTTCATTCTTATTTAAAAGTAAAAAAAGTTCTTGTAGTGATTAATGTATTCTCATTTCCTCCAGATACCTTCAAAAACCTGATTTTGCAATATATTTGTGTAGCGTTTACTGAGCTGTGTAACAGATTTTAATGAACGTTGAGTAATTCACAATTTCTGTAGGAAGTATTTGGAAGAAATAAAAGTGTAGGTTATTTTATTTGGTCATATATGGTAACATACCTCAAGTTTATGTGCAGTAGATCGAAACGGATGGGGTACTATGGTCTTTAATCGCCCTCCGTGCTTTCATTAAATTTTGCTCCAGATATTCTTCTCGGCACTTTGCCGTTAAATGTTTGCAATCTGTTTTCACTTGGAGTGAGGGAGCGAGTTTCACACCCATATAAAAGAGCATACAAGATTATGGTCTTGTACATTTTAGTTTTTAGATAGATAGAAATAGGAAGGTAACAATTTTTTTATATTCTTTCA